AATTCATGAAAATCTTTTCGCAAGGAGTAGTCCACTTTGTTATATGTTTAATGATTTAAAAAAAATAAAAAAAAAGCAAACAAACAAACAAATCAACATAAAATTTTGATCTAAAAGCAAAAATGAAAAGAAGAAGAAAACTTTAATCCAGTTTTGTAGTCTTCTTTTCATTTTTTTTTTTTTTACAAATACAATCATCAGTGAACGTAAAGTATACGCCACAACTTATTATGTTGAGTTAATGTCTCACAACATATGAACGCAATTGACGCTACTATGTCAAGAAAAAAGTCGATAAAGTGAGTAAAGCTCAATAAAATGATTGAGTGAAATAAATGCAAAAAAAAAGTCCAATATAAAATATCGCAATACTTCGGAGTAGGCAGGCTTAAGTGTCATAAGGATGCTATGTCAGGAGAAAGACGCTTTTTTTTGCGTTCGATATTCTCGAAATATTTCCGCTTGTCATCGCTAGTAGCAATTCGATATAGGGAAGGTTTGCTTTCACGTAGCAGAAGCAAAATTTCGGAAGTAACTCGCATGTTCTTCATTAGAAAAAGTGTTCTAGCTTCGAGATATTCCAGCATTGCTGTTAGCAGGCGTCCAAGCTATACAAAAACGCCACTTCGGCAATATGTGTCCATCATATATATATGCTTTTCTCACTTGTGAACAGTGAAAGCCACTTATTTACATGAGCATCTGGAAGTCTCGTAACGTCGATTAAATATATTAGAAGCAAACGCGACCTCTTCTTCACGTATATATAAAATTTGAAGAAAAGATTGGTGAAAAGATTAAAATCTCTTGAAAAAATATATAAAACAAAATTAAATATATCATCGTTTGTTTAAATCGTCTAATTCTTTTTTGCTTAATGGCTGACTTGAAACATATAATTTCCATATTAAATTTGCCGTTCTATACACTACCCAAACAGGCCCTAAATGTCAAATATCCAGAACACTTTTCAAATAGTTTCTAGTAATTCTATGTTTCCACTTTTCGAGTTTTATGGCATCGACAGGCATAAATATCAAAAGTAATTATATGTTTTTTTTTGTGGACATTTTGAAATTTTTAAGATTAAGTAGTTTTTCTACGCCCATTAATTTTCGAATCACGTTGTTAGCTATTTTTGGCGTATAATATGACATTGTACATTGGATATCGAGCAAGCACTCATACGCCATCGAACACTATTAACCCAATTCTCGTGAACCGCTGATGGAGAACCACCAATCCAAAAGAGAAATTCGCTATCGAGCTTAAGAAATGTAGATAATGCCGACAAAAGCGACTTTACTAAACTGTTCTTTAACGGGTTACTCAATTCACAATAAGTGAGCCAAATCAAAAGTTAGGGCTGTGATGTGTCTAGGTAACTTACATTAGCAATATCAACGGCACTGCTGGCGACCTTATTATGAAGACAGCTAAGTCTTCAGAATAATATGTTATAGATCTTGCTACAGACAATTAAAGAAGTGCCAGTAAAAGTTGCTATCCGATAAAGTCTATTAATAATAAGGCGTCCACTATTAACTTTCTTGTATTCTTTAAATGCTAAAACCTGCCCTATTGGGGTAACTGCACTAGAAGCTGATAAGAGCCGCAATAATTTGAGAGAAATGCCACGAATCGGCTTTTGGTCATTTTTATGAAGGATCATGTTATCATGGGTTGAGAATCAACGCGATGGCAAAGGCGTCAAATTCGGAGATCGGACATCAATTGTTAGAAAAAACACAATTCAAGTCCTCAGCGAAAATTACATCAGTATAACAAATGAGCAGCTAAGTTTCAAGGTTTTTTGATCAATGAAAATTTCAAGAAAAATTAAAAAAATAGTTTATTTGAAATATAGTCTCCACCAGGTTTCCGGCAATATGTAAATATTGAAACGATGGAAGAACGCACCTTTGGACCGATACCACTCGTCATAACCGTTTTGCATTTGCAAAGTTGATTAGAGCGTTGTCTAACTAAGTCACGCGCCTTCGACCGGCACAATTGATAAGCGGAAAGCCTAGGTCTGGCGAACGTGATGAATGCGATTGAATTTCACCATTTGAACCATTGCAGCGCGATGGCAAGGAGCGTTGTTGTGCTGCTGTCTTACTTGTTCTTTTCCCATGCCCATGCCCCATTCTAATGGTTTTCCAATATTGCGCGATTAGTCGGTTGCTGTCGGTAGCGCTGCCGATTGCCGATAATTTAGCCCAATTTTAGCATAACACACTATTCCTTTTTAACCTCAACAAGGGCAGAGCATTGCCTTCTTTCCAAGACGATTTGGATGTGTCGTCGATGTTGATGATTGTAATGATTGTAATCTCTTGAGCAAAATGAAATACACAGTTTTTTAACTGAACTGAAAAGCTTTTCAATGACCGACCCTATATGCTTTCAGCTCTTAAAATGTCATCTACATATACTGATAACCAAGTTTATGATTGAATTCGGTTATGTATCGCTTACAATTCGATTGTTCAACTTTTCTTTTCAGAGAACTAATTTGGCAACTTAGTCATCATTCCACGTCCATTCACTTTACTTATAATCAATCACTAGTAGAGCTATCTGCTAACATGCACTAAATTACATTACTTCTAATCCTTTCACTATACTCGCGATTTACTAAACTGGTTGTTTAGCCTTTACTTTATTTCAATCACTATCAGTTTATTTCAAGCGAACAGCTATCTACACATAAGAGTGCTATCTGTACATAAGAGTGCTAGCTTATAAAAATAAGTAAGAATATTATAGTCAGGCAAAGTTATGGTTTCATTTTCATTAACTCTTCCGCTATCTACTGTCACAAGTATGTAAATCGGTGTGAATTCGTTCGTTGCCAACTGTGGCAAAGGCTTTGCCGACATCGCATATTTGCGTCAATTTAGAAGAATGTTTATTTTACTTCCTTAGCCCCGACAAAAATCTCGGACTGGGATAAATGCCTTTGCGATTTTTCAGTTTACTATTAAACTACTTACAGGGTGATGTTAAATGTCTTTAGACAAACGCTGGCCAGGTAGAGCGTATTATGAAATTTCGGCATCCGAGATCTCGACGAATTCTGATTAGGCATGGGAGTAACTAAGCATCAAGTCTATTGTGTGTCCGTCCTTCAGTTAGAAATATCTCCACAAGCTGAATTCGCGGTGTTTTCATCTACTGCTTAGTACGCGTAAAATCGAAATAGACCTGACCAGCCTCTAGTAAACTCTATAAGCTCTACACAAAGGCCTCAGATAGCCTCATTAAGATACATTGCCTTGAACTTCTGCATTCAAATGAAATTTCGAATATAATATTAATTCCAATAAACCAAGAAAACATGAATATTTTTATAAAACACTATAAACCGATGCAATAACATTCGACCATTCAATGACGCGACTCACCTTTGATTGGGATTTAGAAAATTTCTAGGAAATGATATATTTTGAGGACTTATCACAGGATAACTTTTGGCCTTTAAATGTAACGTAACATCACGAGGTGAACATGCTCCCACTAAAAGTAAAAAAAAAAAAAATAAAAATAAAAAAAGAGAAAAGAAAGGAAGATAAGCAATTAATTTCAATCTAATATAATTTCGATTGGAAAATACTCACGGAAGGCACTTTTTGGTTCTTCAACGGCTTTAAATGTAAATATAGCTTGACGCGTATTCTCCGGCACAAAGAAATGTAATATGGAAACATCCTTGTAAGTGATATACTTGAGTAATATATTCGAGGGCAAGCGAACGACAAGCGTATGGTCTTTCGGCAATTTTAACTTATCAATCCTCTCTTGTTGCTGCTGCTGCGTCTGATTGATAGGAGCATCATTCTGGTTACGCATATCAAGCATTTTTAAACTGGCCGCATAAGCGTTATGACGATTATGATTCATCAAAAATATGGCTAATATAATGACAGCATTAATGCACATATGCTTCCGTGTACATGTATTATTGCTATTAGTTATATAATTATTTGACAGAAAAGCCATCATATTTGAAAATATTTGCACACTAGATTACCGTGCTCTGTCACAGTTAATCGAATATTATTCTATTCAATGGGTCGGCAGCCGTTCTGTTCTCCGTTCCCGAGTCGCAATGGAATTTAATTATCAGCTAACAGTTGTTGGCTGCCATTGATTTACAAATACTGTAAAATGCAAAAAAGCGAAAATAGAATTTCTGCTTATATAATAAATTCAATTGAGACTAAATAATGAAATGCAATGAAATTTTTCGTGCTTTATGTTTTTTAACAGTTATAACAACAATAGCATCAAGAATATACTGCGCGCAAATCTATTTAAATCAATTAATTTGTTATGTACATAATTTGTCGCTGTAAAAGCTCATAGCATAGCACACACGACACGCTTTGAGAATTCATTGTAATAGCATTTTTAATATTTCAAATTTTCGTTATTTATAAATATTTCAAAATACTTTTTTTTTGTTATGAATACATTTGTTTGTATTCGAAAAATGATGTTGTTGTAATCTGACTAGAGAGAATATTAAATTTGTCAAATATTTTTAATATATCGTTGATCATGAAAATTATTTGCATTCATTTCTGATGCTCCGTTAAGGCTAAGCGATGTCAACCCGAGTCCCATGTTCTTCTTTTCGCCATGTTCCCAGTAACACGTAAGTGTGATGTTTATTATAGTTACTTATTGGAATTCATATTCAATTCGTATTAGATGAGGAAATAACAGTTCGGCCGATAACTTTTCCTCATTTTTCTGGCAACAATACTGCGCCATCGTTATAAAATTTCTCAGACGTTCCTAGCGAAATACTCCAACATTTTCCCCTCAGGATGCTTTCGAAGCCATGCTTTCCCCACGACGAAAGGAGTTCTGCGAAAAGCGGTCAGAGCCTTAGTTGTAAGAGCAATGCTTTAAAACTTCTCAGCAGGTCTTTCCCAATTTCTTAAAGATGTGGCTACACCTTCCTTGTTGTTATGGAAGTGCGTTTAAGCATTACACGAGGCTTCACCTCATTCCCTCTTCAGTCACATTAATTATTGAGAGTAGGGAGTGGAATTTATCATATGAGCAGAATGGAGCAGCTCGCTCCTTTCCAATTCGAACACACATAAAACCATTACTTTACATTGGATCAATCCACATTCGCCCATATTATGCCGGAGTTTTTGCTTCGCATATTCTTATCGTAAGCGATCAATATTATTATTATTTTTATTATCCATTCTCCCTTCCCTTGTACCCTTCTCTGCTTTTCTTTCGTAAGTAAGCGTAAATTCGAAAGTACAATCTCTGATCCTCGAATTTTTCGATGTTATTTGACGCGCCGCACGAATGTCATATCGCTCCAGACAGTCTGCCGATGCTTATTTACATCCGTAGCAATGCCATAAGTGCAAGAGGTTGCTTGTAGCATGACTCATATCTTTAGAGTGAGAAGGCTTCATTTGAAAGCATCTTTGCAATTCCGGAGATGCTACAACCCTGCGAATTGCCATTGCTATGGTAAAAATGATATTGTAAAATCAAACGCGTTTCTTTATAATTTTTTCATATGTTCAAAATGCGGTTACTTTCGACTGAGTTAACAAATTTTATAGTCATTCAGTTTAATTTATCAAGGATTCCATAGTATATCTTGCCTGAATTAATATTATTAAAGTTATACAATTATAGACGCATGTATTGGGACAGACGCTACGATATATTATTTCCTTGCTTATTATTAAATAAATAACCTGCATTACTTGTTTATATCAAATTTATTTTATACGATATTAAAACTACGTGTCGCATTACCAACCTGACTTACATTACTTGTATTATTTACGTTACCTACGTTGTTTATAATAATTTACATTCCCACAAATTTTATATAATTTCCATTGTTTTAAGGCAAAAAATTCGGATCTTTTTTTTTCTAAAAATGTATTTCCTTTTCTGGTCGTCAATCATTTTTAATTAGCAATAAATTGCAAATTTAATTTTAAATCCCCTTCTGAATAAATCGTAACAATTTAAAAAAAAAACGCAAAATGCCTAAAGAAATTTCAATCATTCATTGTAAACAAACCTTAAAAATTGATATTATAAAATAAAGGCAAAGCTGGCAGCACTTTCAAGGAAGGGCAAACAGCTGTTGAATTTAATTAATGTAGCCAAGGCAATGAATAGATATTTGAATTTATTGAATAGATCTTTAGATAACATAAACCAACTAATGTACTCCGGTAAGCTAATTATGTGCTTGCAAAAGATGAAATTGGTTGGCAAAAAGAAGAAGAACCAAGACGGGGCTCTAATTTTTAAGGAAAAAGAAGTACGCATTAGAAATGGGATACCTTTTATTGGAGGATAACATTTGGGCACCGCTTTTCTTTTAGTCATTGACTACGGCTCCGAGTATGAGTTTGTAATTTCCAAATCTTGCCGTCAACTCGTCTCCAAGCTACGAACATGAATTTTCCATTTTCATAAGAAAGGAAGGGAACATGTGGCCCTTAACACAATGTTTGTTTGTACTTAATTCAAGGTAACATTACTGCGGATGTGAACAGCAGAGAAAAACTCTGCTTAATTTTTAAACTGAGCCATACTCCGCTGCATGTACTTATAAGCTAAGTCGAAGACAAAAGCTGTATTGGAGATGGTTGGATGTTTTTGGTACGTATTGAAGAGGTAAGCAAGAATATTATAGCCGGTTTCCTTGTTTACAGATGGGTAGTCCCTGAGATTTGTCGAATCAAAATTGTGATGCTTTTTTCGAATGTCAACAGACTGTTGCGAGATAGCAACAGAATATAGAGGCCCTTAATTAATTAATTAATTAACTACGCAGATTTTGTATTCAACGCAACGCAATAAAAATTTAGTAATAGTTAAGAATTTCGTATTTTATGCTCAAGTCAATTATGGAGAACTAAATATATATCTATGCATACATACTGCGTTTATATAATAATAACATTTATGTAACGGCATATATTGGTTCATAAATATGAGCCAGAAAGGATGTTGTTTTTCAAGTTATAACCATTTTCATCGCCATAATGCCGTAATGGCGGGATTGTACCATTATTATAAAAGTTTGACAGCCAAACTTGGTTTTTTTTGATTTTTAGAGAAATATTGCTTTATACGAATAAGAGATAAATAATGTTTTCATTCTGCTTACGTCCGTATACAAAACGTGAATACATCTAACCTGAAACAAAATGTTCTTATCATTATCATTAAAATTATATTGCCTTACGAAATAGTCTTACCTTAGCTTTGAAAGACACAATTTTAATAAGTAGAAATAATAGAAAAACTTTCTAAGGCATTAGAAAATAAAATATCAAATTTTTTGCAAGTTTTAATAATATTTAATATTTAGCAACGAAATGAATGATTTATATATAAACGAGGCTTAAGCGTTTCTTGGGTATTCTCGCTCAATAATTTAGTAACATTTCGTAATATTATCAAAATAAATGAGTAATTTTTTAAAAGCATTGTATAAACAGGACAAGGGAATGATGCTTATTGCGGTGATGATGAAAAGGAAGACTCTTTACAATATTGTATCAAGCCCTGTGGCACAAATAGTTCACATGTGCTGCATCCAAATAAAAACCGCACAGTTGATTGTTTAACGCGGGGAAATAATATAAAAGACCAAAAAAGCAATGCAGTCAGTGCTACCTCATGATGGTATTTATGATATCTTTTCCTAATTTAAAAACAAAAAGGAAGGAAAAAAGGCAAAACGAAGTCGAGATAAAACCAAACTACACGTTGTCGAATGTTCAGCAAAGCTCTGAAATACCCGCAGACGGAAAAAATAAATGAATGAGTAAATGAAAGATAACTATAAACTTTTGTATGCTTGTATTATTTTTAGAAACTTTATACATCAAAAATGCTATTTTAAGTATTGAGTCTGTGTGGCAGTGTCTTTGATGAAAATACAGAACTTTCCGACAAACAGTGCTAACGAAATTGCAAGTTCCTGTATAAATTTATGCAGATAAGTCAAATGAACGAAACTACGTTTGTATGTTTTTGTAGAATAATTTATATATGCATGTCTGCGGTATGATGGGAAGCGCTGACATGCGGTCGAAGAAATAATAATAGTAGTAGTACTAGTAATAGCTGTTATTCGCTGTTGCTGTTGTTAAGATACATTTCACATTTTACACATTCTGTTAACATAGTCGAATTGTACGGAAGGGAAAGGCTATAATTTAAGCATAAAACCGAAACTTACAAATCCGCATTTATTTAAGAAAGTTTCCTCTCTACGCATTTATTATTTTCCTTGATAATTCAGCAAAAACAACTAGTTTTCTGTTGACTTTTCATTTCGTTTTCTTTTCAAATGTCTGTACATAGCGATGTTTAGCTATCTTCATCTTTTCTTCTTCTTCATTATTAGTCTATCTACCTTTTTAGGTATAGGCCTTAGTGTGAGTATTCTGAAGTAAACACAGCCCTCTCTCGTTCTTTCTTTTTCACTCTCTATCTTTGGTATGAAATTATGAATTTTTCAGTTTTTCTTCTTGCTTTTCTGGTCTACTTTCATTTATATATGTATATGACAGAGAATATAATATCATTCTTGTGTGCTCTAAGAATTTTGAATGTATATAACTGTTTGTCTGCATTTGTATATGTGCGTCAGCCTTTTAGAAAAAAAATTATGCATTCCATTTCAATAAAAGAAATTGCAAAGTTTTTTTTTTCCTACATACTTTACGTCAGCTTTCAATTATTTTAATGCATTGCCAATGAGAGAAGCTTCAGCGTCCCAAATACTCTTTGTCTCTTTCTTTCCGTTTAGCTTATGGAAAAGCATAAAAAAATGCTCTTTCATATGCATTCCATAATGATGATTCATTCTTCTTTTCTCATATGACTTTTTTTAACCGCCACCAAAGGAGAGGGATATATTTATTTTGTCAAAACGTTTGTAATATCCAGCAGCACGCTGCAGCGGCATATATATTTTCTCGTTCAGTTCAGAATCGATTAAAAGATGCCTGCTTGTCAGTCTATGGGAATCTGTGGCAAACATTTGCCCTCGCATTCATTTTAGTATTGAAAATGGTCGAGAGTGAACAATGAACGCCCGTACCCAATGGAGCTCCAACTGAGAAGGTTTCTATTTTCGCAA